GTACTGGGACAAGACAGATTCTTCATCAGAGTCATAATAAGAGCCCAAACTGATATTTTCAGGGAAGTCAAAAGGGTATAGTGTGTGAGCAGCAGAAGCGAATTCCACAGGGATTACTTCATCATCATTCTCTTCTAGCTCAGAGTACCCAAAGAGCTGATCGTCTAACTCCTCCTCTTCATACTTGCTACCAGATTCTTCCTCGGACCCAGAAGCTTCAACCTCTTTCTCTTCATGCTTCACGATTTTAGAAGACCGTCCCTCCTGTAATAGAACGTATTGCAACTTCTGAAACTCGACAGGGACCGTGATCTTCTTATCCTTCCAAGAGAACATCATCTTGGAAGTAGTATAATCGATCCTGGCATTAACCTTCGAGAGCCAATTATTGCCTACTATAGCCTGATAGGAGGGGGCATCGGTAACCACTACGTCGATAGGAACTTCGACTCGTCCTACTATGAAGGGGAAATTTGAAATTTCCTCTATGGCCCGTTTACTTTGACTATGAACATTTATCATGTTGACTGTGAAAGGCCTTTCAACCTTAACGTCAAGTTTACCAAGAAGGTGGGATGAAACTACACTACCAGATGAACTACTATCTATAATGAGGGGAATAACTTCGCCGTATACCGTGGTATTACAGTAAAGAGCTGTTGATTTGGGGGTGGGTTGGAGATTAACAAAGACACGGGGCTTTCTTTGAGCCACTTTCTTTCGTTGCAACCCTTTTGCCAATTGGGTGCACATAGAAAGGATAGCCGTGAGCAACTGGCCGAAAGTTATATTGGCAGGCTTATCTCTGATATTGGTGACAATAGAATAAGGAGGTACAAGGTCAGCTATAGAGGGAGGGTTTTCTTCCGGTTTTTTTCTTCGTACGGTAGTCTACTTCAAAGGTTTTTTGTTCCGTTTTTGTAAGAGAGGTTGAGATGCATCCTCAACTGGCTGGTCTTGATCATCTGCTTCTTCAAGAGGGGGAGTTTCAGTTCGACATCTCTTGGATCAAGTATTGTGCTTATTGACCAACGGCTCTTCAGCCGTCACGAAGACAGGATCTTCTACTTCGTGCAGGTTTAAAAAAGTTTGGATCTCATTTCCAGGAGAAGCTTGGTGGGATCTAAATAGTGATGACGATTATCTTGGAGCTAAACAAGACGATATTCCCGATTTCGATGAAGATGATCCTGAAGAAGCCGACCATTTTTTTTCTGACGAACTGGAGCTCTCCTCTTTAGAGTTGGACGTTGTAGAGTTGAACGAAGACAAGAAAGATCATATGAATGGATTGCTTTCTGATAATGATGATTTGTTTGCATGGACTTCACTGGACTTAGGACGAACCAACTTGGTCACTCATTGCATCCACACAGGAGATGCTGTTCCTGTCAGACAAAGAGCATACCGAACTTCCCTGGGAGAAAGGAGATTCCTGAGGGAAGAGATCGATCAAATGCTCGAGGACAACGTCATTCGTCCCTCTGAGAGTCTCTGGGCTTCCCCTATCATTCTAGTCAAGCAGAAAGATAAAACCCGTTTCTGTATCGACTACCACAAACTCAACTCCATTACCTGAAAAGATAGTTATCCTCTCCCTCGTATAGACGATCTTTTTGACACTCTCAGTAATTCCTCATGGTATACTTCACTAGACCTTGCTAGTGGATATTGGCAAATTGAGATGGACCCTAAAGATCGTGAAAAGATGGCCTTCATCTCTCAGTATGGTCTTTATGAGTTTAACATTATGCCTTTTGGGCTTACTAATACCCCGGCTACATTTCAGCACCTTATGGATCGAATCTTTCGCGACATCAACAGAATTTTTGTCATCGTATATTTAGACGACATCAATATTTTTACCTCTTCCTTCGACGCTCATCTTTTTCACCTAGCTGAGGTTTTTTCTTGATTACGGGCTGCGAGGTTACGTTTAAGTCCAACAAAATATCACTTTGCAAAAAGAGAACTTAAATTTTTAGGCTATGTTGTTAGCCTCGACGGTATATCTACTGATCCCTGAAAGGTGGAAGCTGTTTATAGCTTTCCTGTACCTACCACCCTGCGACAGTTATGAGGATTTCTGGGCCTGGCATCTTACTATCGAAGGTTCATTCACGACTTTTCAAAGATCGCTGCCCCACTTCATCTCTTTCTTAAAAAGGATATCAAGTATCTATGGTCGTTTAATCAGGAAACCGCCTTTCAGGCCTTAAAAGAAAAGCTCACCACGGCCCCCGTCCTTGCCTACCCTAATTTTTCACAAGAGTTTTTGCTTTTCACAGACGCTTTGGGAATCGCTCTTGGCGCAATTCTTTCCCAGAGAGATTTGCAAGGAAGAGAAAGTGTCATTTTTTATGCTAGTCGTAGCATGTCATTCACTGAGCACAACTATTCAGTGACTGAACAAGAGTGTCTGGCTGTCGTATGGTCCGTGTCCCACTTCTGACAATATCTTCACGGTACCCATTTCATTGTTATAATCGATCATTCTCCACTCAAGTCCTTGCTTCGTCACAAGCTATATCATGGATGTCTTGCTCGCTAGATTTTGGCCCTGCAGGAATATACTTTCACTATCGTTCACCATGCTGGAAAATCTCATTCTAATGCTGACAGTTTATCCCGTATTGCTGAATCTTCTACTACAACATCTGCCGATTTTTGACTATTTCGAATAACACCCAGTTTTATTATTATACAACTTTATCACTTTTTCTATCATCGTAGATACGTTAAAATAGCTAAATTTATTAAATTGTTCATTATAGATCCTGCGCAATATCAACTGTTTCTACAATACCTCAAAAACTCAATCTCTCTGCATTGTGATTCGTCACAATTAGCGAAACTAAAACAACAAACAAGACATTATACCCTCGTCAACGATATGTTATATAAAAAATATCGAAAACCACACCACAAACTTCTACGTGTTGTTCAATGGCCTGAGGTTCCTGCCATCCTTTTCAGCATGCACTCCGACCCCTTTCAGGACACTTTAACAGTTTTTCCACTCTTCAGCGAATTACACAATGGTATTTTTGGCCCCAGATGGGAGAAGACGTAAAGAAATACTTCCAGTCATGTGACATCTGCCAGAGAAAAGTCAAACCCCGAACACGTGAACTCCTGTATCCTATCAAGGTTGGACTACCGTTTGATAGGATCGGAATCGACCTTGTAGGGCCTTTGGTACCTACAAGGAGCAGTAACAAGTACATTGTTGTAGCAACTGAGTATCTTACTAAGTGGCCTGAAGCTAGAGCCATTCCTGATGCCAGTGCTTCGTCAGTCGTGTCCTTCATTATTGAGGACATTATATGCCAACACGGATGTCCTTAGATATTATTGTCAGACCAGGGCAAGCATTTTGACAATGTTTTAATTGACACTATCTGTAACCAGCTGAGGGTCCATCATTGGTATTCCTCTACTTACCATCCCCAAACTAACGGTCTCGTAGAACGCTTCAATAGGACCCTTTGTGAAGTGTTGTCGAAATGCATCCTACAATTTAAAGGCAACTGGGATCGATATATTCCCCCAGCTTTGTTTGCATACCGCACCACAAAACATTCTACCACCCGGTATGAGCCTTTTTTCTTGATGTATAGAAGGGATGCTCTTCTTCCCGATGAAGTTAGACTCCTAGTACCGGAAATTCCTCCTTCTACCGAAACGGAACTACAAGAAAATATTCTTCAACGTGTTTAGGTCCTTTTAGGAGACATCCCGGAAGTCCATACTAAAGCTCAAGCTCGAATAAAAAAATCTTAACAACTACAAAAGGCCCGTCATGATTCGTGCTTCACCCTTCAGAGCTATACTATAGGGGAGCAAGTCCTTCATTACAAATCCCAACTTGAGGGGACCCATAAAGAAAAGCTAGGTGAGAAATGGGAAGATCCTTTCTATATTCATGATATCCTAGGAAATGGTGTCTACAAACTGAGAACGATGGACGATAAGGTCATCAAGCAAAAAGTCCATGGCAATCGTCTCAAATTGTATCATCTGTGATCTGAGAAAGGCGATTCCGAACCCGATCGATCCTCGCAGGAGCTCGGAAGCTAAGGGGAGGAATTTGTTACCACGTTATTTTTTTTTACGGTTGCGAACACGATCCTGTTACACTAACGGTTTTGGCCGATTAACCGTTATTGTCTTTATTCCCTTGCCAAATTCG